AAAAAGGAGTCACCAGTCAGTGGTTGTGTGCTGTTGAGTAACACTGGATAATGTATTTATTTATTTAGTTTGAATTTATTGGCATGAATGTGTAGTGTGCGAGGGCCGATGGCATTACATAGTACTGCCGGTGGCGATCGAGTACCCTAAAGAAAATTGGTTTCAGTATTTTTCAACCTTCGGTTTAAACTTTTTGTACCACCCACGATCTGTCAGTATTTTACACGTGAGAAAACAAGGGACCTGTCTGCTCCAAAGGCGGACCTAATGTGAGCTGGACAGAAGATGTTTGGATATCTTTGATTCCTTTTTAAGGACAATTAAATCTTTCACACGGGATCCCCATATCAAAAAGCTTTTTTATCGGTTACCCACTTAATCAACGCTGTATGTAATCCAACTCCCATCTGATATCCTCTCCATGGACGGAAAAGCTTAATTGATTATGTTGTTAAATCAACGTAATTTATTTGGTTTGTATTTTTTATTTATCGTGTGTGTGCTTATCCAGAAAGATTTATAGAATAATTTCGTTAATTGTTAATGTGTTCATGACAAATCTAATTACAGTCATGTCTCCATTAAGTACTATTGAAAAATAGGTTGGGTAGGTCCACCTAGGTTTTCAAAGAAAATCAATACATACTAAGTATTGCATATAAAAAAAATCAATATGTTAATATTGACAAAAGTTTGATTAAAAAAAATTAATTTCACAATTATACATTTAATTTTTCACAATTTAATGGCCCTTTGTATCTACTTTATGACCTATTGTAACTACTAGTAAATTATTGCTGTTGCTATCAATATTCAATTGGGTGCCTAAACGTTAACCGAACAGGCGTGTTGTCAATAGAACGCTTTGAAACAATTGAATTTGGGATTTGATTTACAAGATAGTTGTGACCACGGTGAAACTCGGGTACAGTGGGCCCATTCGATTACCAGGCACATTTCATCCTGTACTAAATCTATTATGTTATGGCCGATAGTTGAGTTAGGAATACTACACATTCGAACGATGGTTTGAATTTTGAGAGTACATTGTTACATTTGTTTGATCTCTTTTTGAAACCAGCTTAAGAAGATAGTTTTCGGACAAAAAGCTGGTATTTTTCTATTTTTCGTTTAAATCTACTTTTTTCTGAGTGGATTTAATTGTGATAAGCATTAATTTTTCAGAAAAGTTGGTACTTTATGTTTTGCTACCAAACTTTAAATGTATCCTGGATTTTGAGGTCATTTCGTTGTTCAAAGATATGCCTGAAGGTTACCTTTTCCGACACCATTTTCTCAAGAACTAATTGGTTCATTATAATCAATACTTTTTAATTTTATTTCTCTTAGTATACTACCAATTCTTAGCTATGGGTTTTTAAAAATATCGAATCGTTATTTTTTTGCAAGAACTTAAAAATTCGAAAACCCTTTTTCAACACAATACATAAAGAGAATGTGGAATATGACAATTATGATTGTGTACAGTATGTGAATATGCTCAGAATCAATTTTGTTCAATGAAAATGATTAAAATTCTTGAAATTTAAGGGTCGAGGGCTTAACACTTTGAAAACAGCGAAAAGACTTGAAAGAAAAGGTAACAGATGGATTGCATAATTTTTGGTTTTAATCATTCATCTCAATACTTAGATGTCTAGGGACACCTGGGAAGCCCTCAAAAGTGGATTGTAGCAGTTATTTAATACAAAACGTTATTGCTTATAATTAAATTTTTTTTATCAGTTTCTACATTTGCCAAAGAAAAAATTTGAAATGCAAGTTTGACAGACCAACAGCACAGGTCAGGTTATGTACTTCATTTTTGTACATTGAAAACGTTGGTCAAATGATTCATTAAACACTTTGTTTTCTGGACTGATTACTACTTTTCGATGATAATAGTTTTACCATATTGTTTAAGTAAATTTTTAAGTACATAAACAAATGGTGCTAGATTAGAAAATGTGTTGTAGTTGCTTTCAATGAAACAAATCATCTTTTTGTTTGAATTTGAGAGAATCGTTGATAGAGGCTCAAATAACCTCAAATTTGCCTGGTTTATCATTGACTATAATAATAACTTAGCTATGTGAATAAATGTGAACAAAATTATTGTTCCAGATTTTATATATTTTTCCCTCGATTGTAAAATAATAATAATTATTTACATTATAAGAAAAGAACGGCCATAAGCGTCAATTAATAGTACTGAATTGTTTGATCAAATTGGAATTTTATAAATATTGATTTAGGGCAATATGCCTCTCATCGATGAATCGTAGATTCGCAAAAAAAGGTTTTGTATTTATACATGTGTTTCACGTTGAAAATATATTTGACTGTAAGGGTATAGGCCTAATAATAAACCTAATATGGCTTCGTCAGTTTTTCCTATATTGGAAAAGTGAAAAAAGTCGTACAAAAAATCTGAACTTACTCAATTTATCAGGTGAGACGTCGGACATTTTCGTCTCGTCGTTTGTGCCCATCGTGGAAATGGGTCGGACGGGATCCGTACAACGTTAACCCGAACAGAAAAACCCCTCGGTCCGGGATGGAATATAACAACGACCCCCCAGTTGCCGACCCGAAGCCCTGCGCAGAAGGATATCTTTCCCAATGAACGTTCCACAGAATCCGACCTGTTTTCTCCGCGAGCCGGAGGGGCCAGACCGAAACCAAGTCAACGCCCAAAACTACCTGGTGCCGCCCCCAATTTTAAAAATGTCCTTTTTAATCAAGAATTAACTGTAATCTCGTGTAATAATTTTCAGCATTTACTACATTTATCCAAGCACCAGGGAATATTTCACTAATTCGGCCTAAGTTATAATTAATTAATTGATATGCAAAAAAATTATATATAGTTCACACGAATATCATTTTGTAAACGAAACTAATTTTACCGACGTTAAATCATTTGAAATTATTGTCAGGCTAAAGGCTTTCATGATATTTACAGTTGATAGATTTACCGGTTTTAAATTTAGATAAATCTGAATAAGTCAAATTTTGACGATCACCTGAAGAAAAATTAAGGGGGTAGCGACGTTTTTGGACGAACAGCTGATAACCCATATATTTTTTGTTTAACTCCACTTTTACTCCGTGAGTTTTAATTTTGATTTGTATTTCTTTTACAGGAGAAAAAGCATCTTCAGTTTAGGGATTAAAATTTAAAATATGCCAGAATGCCTTTTTTGATACCATTTTCTCGAAAAATGATTAGTCTATTTCAACCAATATTTTTTAATTTCACTTAATATACTCCGCAATAGTATCTATGTGTTTTTAAAACTAGGAAAACGTTAATTTTTCTCATCAACATAATATTGTGACAAATCTTTACCTTTCTTTATACATGGAATTTTATTTCTCAAATTCTAAGTGTTTTATTAAAAATATTGCTTGATACATTTGTTTGGATAATATTGTTCTACAAACCGAAGCATGAATCGTTTCAATATAATTAAAATTTCACTGTATTTGAGGAACTTTTCAAGGTATTTTAGTAGTCCAAAATGAGGACACCTTTTTGACACCTTTTACTCTATACCAATTAGGTCTATTATAACCAGTCCTTTAGATCTTTTTAAGTTTTTTTCTTAGTCTGGTATAAATTTGTAGATGGGGTGCTTTAAATATATTACATCGTTAATATAAGTTAGCAGGCTAAAAAAAATTTTTTAATTTTTTTTGTATAAAAAATATGTATTTTTTCGCTCCTTGGTATTTTTTAAAAATATTGCTCGCTAATATTGTTTGCTATTATTGTTATACAAAGTGAAAAAAAAATCGCTTCAATCTAAGAGTTTTGGACAAAAGTGTACCAGCTGATGAAAAACACAGCTTTTCAGTAGATGTTTAATTTTGTCCGTTTGCGCCCAATTCACACGATAAAAACGTTACGCACCTATTCCTTTAGCAGTATAAGATGTTTTAGTATGGAAAAATAGTTTTGGACAGCGAATTTTTACACGACTTTTTACGATCGCTTAATTCAGTAAAAGAGAGGTCAAAAAGTTGCCATTTTTGGTACCAATTTCGGCAAATCTAATTGATATAATATTAAAACAAATATTTTTTATATTGCTCTTAGTATATAATGAATTCATAGGTAGGAATCTTTAAAAATATTAAATCGTTAACTTTTTGCAGTAACCTAATTAGCCTAATTTTAAACCATTTTTCTTTTAAAAAATATATTTCTCCGTTTCTAGATGTTGTTTTATAAGAACCACAAGATACAATTATTTGGCTATTATTGCTGTCCAAAATGTAAAAATAATCTCAATACGGCTAAAATATTTACAGAAAGTTGTACGGAAAAGTTAAAAAATACAACTTTTCCGGAGCAGCGATTTTCTGGTGGAGGCAAATTTTTTCTGTTGCTGCCCCTTTCACGTCATAAAAAAGTTTCTTGTTAAAGATTCTTGTAATAGGGAATGTTTCAGTTTGGAATGGACTTTTCTAACACAGAATATATATTAAATGCAAGAGATTTAGTGATCATTTATTATCGTTTAAATCAATCAAAGAGAGGCCAAAAAATTGCAATTTTTAACAGTTTTCTCGGTGTGTGTTTTGAAAATGGACGAGTAAGGATCAAGGAGATAACGCGCCGTCTATTCGACTAATCGTTCCCACGATTTATCGTCAGGGAGTAAATTGCATGTTATTTAATTTATTATTTATTCCATTGTTACAGTTTTGTTTAATTTTTATGCATGTTAAAAATTTATTTATTTAATTTATTTATTTAATTTTTTCAATTTTTCAAATTTATATCGTTATTAACAGCATTAAATACTAATCTGTTCTTCTTTTCTATTAAGTTAATTGTTCTTCAAAATAATTATTATACAATATTTCTGACCTAGATTAAATTATGTCAGAGCTAAGCGGGGGGAAAGACCCTCCTTTCGCAAATGAAGTAGTAACATTCAATGACCCAGATTATACAATGGATCACGATCATCAAAGATCGTCGAAAAAAAGACCTGCAGAATGTGAGAGAATAGGATACAACAAAGTCTTTGTTACTTCGGCTGCTGAAATGCAAAAATCGAAACTGGATAGAAATGCACTACTTTCTTCATTAGCGCTACAAGGTCGACGATAAGGGCCCATTTATTGCTTCATTGAAAGCTCTAATTCGCATGTTGGAAAAATGAACCCTATGAAATTAGGAAAAGTCATATTTAACTCTAACTTTACCCACAAGGATGATATTATGAACCATAAAATGGGCGTTATAAGAGGTGTAGAGCCTGACCTTCCGGAAAATGAAATCCTGAATGTTACAAAATCTCCCGTTTGTGTAAAGTCGGTGAGGAGAATTTCAAAAATTTTCTCTGAAGAAAATAACCAAGCTCGTAAAGTTACTTTAGGTACTTGTATTTTGACTTTCGATTCACAACTGTTGCCCGAATCTATTACAATCTACGGTTCGAGGTGTAAAGTAGATCCTTACGTACCACCTCTCCGACAATGTCGCAAATGCTACCGATTCAACCATTTTCAAGATCAATGTAGAAGTAAACAAAGGTGTGAAATTTGCGGACTCACTCACGATGAAAAATCTCCGTGTAACAATTCAATGAAGTATGCGAATTGCTCAGGAAATCACAAGGCCTCGGATAAGACTTGTCCTGAATATGTCCGCCTTATTTCATAGAAAAGACAAAAAGCGATATCATCCACTCTGTATTCTACTGTTACGTCAAATAAATTTAATTTATTAGCTAATCTGTCGGATTTTCCTCCTCTGGAGCAACCGACTGAAAATGAACAACCTACACATAAAATTCGCTCGATGAAAAACTGGTCGTCTTCCAGACATAGCCCTTATGTGACCAAAAAAGCAAATTTAATTAATAAATTAGAACAGCCTAGTCCCCCAAAGGCTTCAGATAGAGCAAAACATCTCCAATCCAAGAATGTGTTTTCGAGTCCAAAGATCAATCCCAATTCCGGTAAAGGCGAAAAAGAAGATGCATCTTATTATTTAAGCTTATTTAAGAAATGTTTGCAGGAAATTGAAAATGAATCTGATAATCCTGAAAAACTTTTTTAAAAAATCTTTGTGGTCTGCCAAACAGTTATTAAAGAAGACGATCTCAATAAAGATCGAGACGTTGGCTAGATAAAGAAAATGTTTTTCTGAAACCTACATCACACCAGACCGCATCTCACGATTTCTGAATAGTTATTAAAGACTTCGATAAGATTATTAACTCAACACCTCATGAACAGAATCCAGATATTTAGTAAAAAATACAATAAATAAACAAAATGACAATTAATTCACAAAAATTAAATTGTTTGCAATGGAATTGCCGTTCACTTATTCCAAAAAAAGGCTTGTTGGAAAAACTGATCAATTATCAATCAATATTGTTCTACTGTCCGAAACATGGCTTACCTCCCAACAGAAGGTGACTTTCCAAGATTTCCATTTTGTGCGAAAAGATAGATTTGACGGATATAGTGGGGTTGGTTAACTCATTCGAAATCGATACCTTTCTCTCCCATTAGGTTAAACTGAGTTATAAGAAACGTTATGTGCGTGGGTGTTCAGATTAAAGTAAAAAAAATTGCATCTCCCTTAAGTATAATATCGATATATAACAACAACGTAAATAAAATTACTTCTTCAGATTGGGAGAGATTTGTAAATGATATTCCTAAACCCTTTATTCTTGCAGGGGATTTTAATGTCCACCACACAGCATTTGGATCCGATTGGTGCGATGCAAATGGACGCTCGCTTATATCGTAGAAGCATTGGAAAATCAAAATGTTTATTCAAACGATGGTTCACCACCTCTTTCGTCCTTCGGCTCTTTCAAGAAAATCAGCTGTTGACCTAACTTTGCTAAGCTCGGATTTAGCTCCGAAAGGGCTTCGGCAGGTTTTGGATGACCCTATGCGTTCGGATCATTTCCCCATTCTATTAAGAATCGAGGATGTGGAAATCCCACAAGTTGTTCTATCAAATAGCAAATGGAACCTTAAAAAAGCAAATTGGTCTAAATTCAAGGAAATTTCCCAAATTTTTACTGAAAATTCCGATTACCCTTCGTATGAAGAATTTGAGCATATTTTAAATTCCGCAAGCGAAATAGCCATTCCTAAACTTAAAAAAACGCAGGGCCGAATAAAATATCTAGCTAAATCATGGTGGAATTCTGATTGTGAAAGTTATTTAAAAGGGAGAAAAACACCCTTAGCTGTATTTAAAAATTGTCCATCTTTACACAGTTATGCCGAATATAAACGTGCCAACGCAAGATTCCTCAATGCAGTAAAATTGGCAAAAAGATCTATTTTGCAGGAATTCTGTAATTCCTTGAATAAAAACTCTCCATTATCCATGATTTGGTCAAAATTAAAATCTTTAAAAAACTCATCAAACAACCGTATTCCTATGTCAGTAGAACCTTGGACGAATGAATTTGTACAAAACCTGTGCCCTCAGGGCCCAATTATTAACTTAAATATAACAAATTCGCACTCGTGTACAGCTTTAACTCGAGAATTTACTAAGTCCGAACTTGCGCGTGCTTTAAAAAAAGTAAATAATTCCGCACCTGGAGCTGATTATGTTCATTATCCCATTTTAAGCAACCTGTCCTCAGTATGTAAAAATTACCTCTTGAATGTACTTAACAAAATTTGGAAGAGAGAAATTCCTATCCCCGAATCATGGAAAACCACATTTATAACACTAATTTTGAAGCCTAACAAGGACCCAAATGATTCCTCGTCTTACCGCCCCATAGTGTTTACTTCATGTGTTCTAAAGACATATGAAAGAATGATTAAAAATCGTTTACAGTGGTGGTTAGAACGGAACAAATTACTCCCTAAGTTTCCGGGGTTCCGTAAAGGCCTGTCAGTGCAAAACGCACAGGCTAATTTAATCTGTGATATTTATGAAGCGTTTACAGAATCGAAAACACTCTTGGCCCTTTTCGTAGACATCACGGCAGGCTATGATAATGTTGATTTGGGTCTCCTAGGAGAAAAATGTCCAGCATTGGTATTCCTGCGGAGGTAATTAATAATATATTAAGAATTTGTGGGTAAAAAAATCTTATAAAAATAAATGATTCTTCATTTGCTCCTTTTACCACATATCAGGGACTCCCCCAAGGAGGAATTCTAAGCCCCTTATTATTTCTGGTCTATGTGTACGATTTGGCTACTTGCATCCCACCCTCAATTAAAGTAATTCAATATGCTGACGATATTTGCCTCTATACAGTTCACAAATCTGTAGAGGCGGGAATTCTGGCGTTAGACGAGGGAATGACCACATTTGCTCACTGGATTAACACCAACAATTTATCAATATCGGCTCCAAAGTCATTTCTTTTTCCTTTCTCTAGGAGGATGAGTGTTCCTCTAGGAGACTCAGTGGTTTTGGGTGGATATTGTTTTAAAGTATGTAAGTCAGTTAAATTTCTCGGCCTCAATGTCGACCGTAAATTATTGTGGAAAGACCACATAAACCAGATAATCGAAAAAAGGGAAAAATATTTGAACATTTTGCGATACTTCACTACTACGAAATGGGGGGCTGACCCAAATGTGTCATTGTTGTTTTATAGGGCATGTATCCGAAGCACTATAGATTTTGGATGCATTTTTTATGGAGGTGTAGTGAAGTGCACTTGAGGAAACTTAACGTACTTAGAAATAAATGTATCAGAAGATGTTTGGGATTTTTTATCAGACACCCCGATAAAGGTGCTGGATTGTGAAAGTTGTGAACCCCCTCTGACTTTCAGAATTGATAAGCTGTCGGCAAACATGGTCTTAAAACTAATGTCCAGTAACAGCCTGGTATACAATAAAATAGCATCGCTAAACGTTAGTATCCTCACAAAAAAATACTGGGAAAAGAAAAAACTCCCTCCCTTTTTAAAAGCGTATTTGGAGACAGTGAAGTTCAATTTTATTTTATATAAACAGGACATTTTGCCTACATATGAATTGGAATTTGAAACTCTTTGTGCCGAATTAAGTGTTACATCGCTGAGGGATTACTCCCAGGTCCCTCCGGCGTCTGTGAGTTCAATGTTTCTTTGTGACGTTTTGTCTTTATTCTCATCTCCATACCTTATATTCACGGACGGATCAAAAACGGAGGTTTGAGTAGGATGCGCGTGGTACGATCCACAGAAAAACAAACTCGAAAAATATAAACTTCCCCCAGAGTTCAGTATATATGCTGCTGAACTTTTTGGCATCTTTAAGGCAGTAGAGTATGTATACGAAGAAGATGTCAAAAGTGAATCATTATTAATTTTGTCAGACTCAAATAATTCCTTGGAGAGTCTGAAGAATTTTAACCTTAATTCAGATAACAACGGTCCTCGACGTTAAATCGTCAAAAGGAGTGTATTCGATTCCTGTGGGTGCATGGTCACTCCGGCAACAGGGGTAACAATATAGTAGACGGTTTGGCCAGAGAGTCCGTACTAGATGGTATAGTCCTTGCAAGATGCAAAAAGTGCAATTAAGACCCAAAATTGGATAGTCGCATAAGTATAGAGAAAGTATACAAACCGGAAAATTCTACACTTCTATAAACCCTCAGTTGTCTAAAAAGCCTTGGTTTCAAAATGTTCAATTTTCCAAGAGGGATATCACAATTATAGATGGGCTTAGGTCTAATCATGGAACTTGTGGAATTTACCTTCATAAAATAAACCAGAAGCAGAACGATCAATATAAATTCTGCAAAATCCCTGAAGATTTAGAACATAAGATCATGATCTGTTCAGGGTACTTAGTTGAGAGGAACTATTTTTTTGGATGGTTATGCTGTAAGAAGGAAGTGCCCAAACCTATAAACTATAAGTCACTTTTAGCCTTGAACAACACTGTAATATATGGACATCTCCTATATTTTGTTTATAGGTGTAACATGAAAATTTGAAATGAGTCCCTTGCCTTAACTAGGGAGAGCTGTGTCTGTTGGGGGCTGGGCGCGGCTCTGGCTTGTCTGCGGTGGGCGGGTGGGGTTGGTAGGGCTCCCTGAGCAAGTGTGGCTCCGGGGGTTTGGGAGATGTGGACTTTTCCACATATCTCGATGTAAGGTTTTTATCCACATCTCCTAAACGGTCCCTCGTAATGGACTTAAAATTAGACCTTCAAGATTGAGAATAGAGAGAAGAGCCGCGTTGATGGCGTCTGGCTACTGGTGGATGCACGGCCCTGAAAGTCGGTTCGTTAGCTAATGTATAACAAAGAGGCCACCAAAAAAAAAAAAAAAAAAAAAAAAAAAAAAAATTTAAAAAAAATATATATATAATCTATTTCGTTTACTACTCCATAGGTTATTCCCTCTTATTTCCCTTGCTATGATACGAATTCATGTCTAATGTATTAAAACATCGAATCGTTAATTTTCGGCAGTGACCTAAAATTGTGACAATAATTGTACGCCTTTTGTTTTCCTACAAAACAGTTATTCTTTCGATCCTGGGTGGTTATTCTGGGTGCTCTACATAATAAGAATCATCAATTGGGAATAAGAATCATTTCCATACGATTAAGAATTTGGGGAAAAGCATACCGAAGTAAAAAAAATATAACATTTCACGAGATGCGATTTTCTGCCCCAGTCAATTTTTCACGCTGCCCAATTTACGATATAATAAATTGCTTATAGACGATTTTTAAGTTGGGAAGGTAGTTTTTGACACAAAATATTTATAAAAGACTACTGTCTTTAAAAAGCTTAGAGAATAACTTGTTGCAAGTTTATCAAGGCAAGATTACGAAAACACTTGATTCC